GTCCTCGGTCTTGCATTTGTTTGATTTAATAAATATTTGTATATTTAACTGCTTAGCCAATAAATATTACATCCATAATATAATGTGTAGCTATGGTTTTATTTGATCATCCAACACTGTATTCACAGAATAAAGCTAATTCTGTACAAGATGTTTGTGTTCATACAGTATGTATGCACAAATGGGGAGCGTGTTTATAAATACGAAAACCCAAACATTTGGCATTATTGGATTCTTGCAGAGCCTGATCCTGTATTCCAAAAGGAATCTCCAAGCATTTTTGTAAACTTTATTGCCATATCAAACAGTTTCCTACTACATTGAAACATTCATAGTTTTAGAGGTAAACCATAGCAAACACTCTTCTAGAACTTTGGGTTAAATTTCAGATATTAGATTAAATCACTGGGCCTTAACCTGCCACTTTTACTCATGTGAGTAATCCTTGCTCATGCAGGCAATCTCATTGACAATACTACAACTTCTTCTATGTTGACTAAGGTGATCCTGCACCTTATTTTATAACAACTCCTAAAGGGCCTAATGAGAGGAAGAGACAGATTAATGGAAGATCTTATTGTGCTAAGATTCTACAACACTTTCTTCAATTACATTTAAAAAAAAAAAGGAGAGTTACTATATATTTGTGTCTTTTAAGTACAACACTGGATTTTGTTAGTCAAACACAGTCAAAGATATTTGGACTTTGCTCCTTGTTTCACAATATACCAAATATTTTGTACTGTTCAAGCAACCATTTCACGGTATGCAAATACATTTTACAAGTTACTTTTTTTTAAGTGGCATGTTGATTTCTTTTGAAAAATTGGAATTGTGGGGGGCCAATTCTGCGATATCCTGTAGTCCTAGGATGACAAACATCAGTCCTCAACTCCAGTACGATTTCCAATGGCAGTTGAGTACTTATTAAGCCACAAGAATGTCCCTGTATATTGATAGTGGACTCCAGTACTCCTCCAGAACTCAGTGGTGGTTGCTGCGGCTGCTGGAGTGGTATTCTTTTCCAGCTTGTTGATTGGCAAGAAGCAAGCATTTTGACCTTAAAATAAGTAATCTGAGTAATTTGAATCAGAAATTTATTTTTCATTTTTAAGATACTTCTGATTTAACAGGAGAACACACCCAACAGGCATGAATATCTATAATTCTGTAGTCTTGCTGTGGGGTTTTTGATTATGTTTGTACTGGTTGTTTGTCACCATTGATATTATAAATCATGTTTTCAGAATTTTATAACAGCCATAAATATTCATTCAAGTCTGAAACTTTGCTTTCAAAATCTCAGCTTAAAAGTTATTTTATGTTTTATACTTTTTTGCATAAAAATGTTTTAAACAGTGGCTATTTTAAAATTTTGAATAAAAAGGGGCAGGGGGAATTACCCCTTGGTTCTGGAGGCTTGCTTATCCTCTTGTAATTTAAAATATGCATCCATTTAAAATTGATTTTGGCTCATCAAAGATGCAGGATTGATAGTCCTACAGAACCAAATCCTCTATGGATCCTCAGAATATCTATAGTAAGGGCAGCAGTTGCACAAGCCTTGTTACATTTTTTGCAAAATATTATTCTGTATTGGGTCAGATCCTGCATCAGGATTCTGATACTAAGAACCACAAGCAATTGTGGCTGTGACTATTCCATTTAAACATGTACAATTTTCTACTGCTATTGATTCAACTAATTAATAATAAAGTTTGCTCAGATCATGCACAATTCTCAATGAAAAACAAAATGTCTAGATTTTTCTATATAATGTCTCCACTTTTTGGAATCACAACCCCCCTGGAAGAGCTATCATAGTGACGATGGTAAACTCCAATTTGACTTTAGGGGTACAGGATCAGACTCTAGCTCTGTAAACCTATTAGTAAATTACTTATCCACTTGATAAGATTTCCATTAAAATTCAGGTTTGCTTGGTTGGAGTGAGTAGCTCATTCTCCATTTCCATTCGGACCTTGGCTCTTCTGCTGAGATAACCAACAGGGTGCTAATTGTGTAATGGTGTTTTTTGTGATGTACTGGGGACTAGATTGAGACAACTGAACTCAAATGAAAAATGTATAGGATTTAATATGCTGAATCCCATATATTCCAGTTTGGTGTACAATATATTTAAATGCGTCTGGAAGTCACATACTTTAGAGTGCCCAGCTAAGTTTTGACAGCATTATAGAGCAACAGAAAAACAAGAGTAAAGTTTCTTAATTGTAAGCTTTCAATAATTTCTTTACGGGCTCTATGTTGAACTTAAAAACAGCAGATAATACATTTATCACTCATATCAACAATGAAGACACAGCAGCTGTAGCCTGCTTGTTTTTCCACAAACATGCATCACTCTTTTGCTACTGATGACCCTCTGTATCAGCTTCAAACAGGCTCATTTTATCAGCACAAGAAAAAGACCATTTCCTGCCCTTTAATGAGTATGTGCAATGGCAGTTCTGTTTGCACATCCAGGAGGAGAATTTGCCACACAAATTCCAGAATGTAGGATGCTCACAGATGTTGCATTAACTAGAAATTAAAAAGATAACATTCTCTTGGTGATTTTGTCCTGCTCCAATACACATTCCCTAAATATTCAATGTTACTTTAACATTAGTACCCCCAACAAGGAACATTTTACATTAGTAAAAGCCCCAAATCCTTGTTATATGGCACTACAACATTAAACATCAAATGTTGCCACTTTTCCTATGGCACTCCCAGTGAAATACAGTGGAAGCTATGGGCCTGAACCAATGCTTATCAGTCAGTGGGAGTCTTTCCACTGAGTTCAAAGGGCATTGGATCAGGCCCTATAACAATAGTTATGTATATATTTAGCTAACTAACAATGCACATTGAGCTATTTTGACACACTTAGGTAGGTCACTTTCAGTGACTGCTGGCAGCTACACTAAGGAAAATAAAACTATTTGGGCAGAGTTCACCACTAGATGTCTCACTGCATATTAACAGTTTCTCTAACAAACTAATGAAATCTGATAAATACAAATGAATTCCTTTAAGGCCTCTTTTGGAGAATAAGTTCAAAATGAACAAAAATAGACTTAGTTTGCTCCACAGCTATAAAGAACATATTCTTTCAGGCAGTAGTTAGAAATGAGTGCATGTAGACTAACATCATCTTGCAAGACCAGGATAATACCAAGTTAATGCTCCTGAACCCCAGAAGTAAACCAATTTTTCAAGACTCAAGTACAGCCAGTAGGAAAACACTCATATACTGCATGAATAGAGAAAGAAAATCTGGTTCACAGCTGAGATCAGACTGATTGATTGCAGTAACAAAGCCAAGTAAAGTTTTAAAATTAATTTAAGATTAACATTGTGGCCTTGTAAAAGAATGTTTGAGCTTTTTTGACTACAGTCTCTGGCTTTTGTCCTTTTAGGGCACAACCTTAAAGTTACTTATCTGTATTTATTTTTTGGAGTTCTGATCTCAGAGCATAACTTTTTGAAGACTATATTGGTACATCTGTAAAAGAATTTACCATTTTTTGTTTAATCTTTAAAAGGCTTGCCTTTTTAAATTAGAAGACTAATTTTTCCATTTATATTGGAAGTGTGATTTCCTCAAAGAATGGAGTATTTGTTTTATTTTATCAAGTTAAATATACATTGTCCTCTTTCAGGTAAGATCCTATTCATGTGCTGGAGCAGCTCATATGAAGAAAATATACATATAAAGCATTTAAAGAACACAGTAAAAGCATTTAACCATTGTACTGCTGTAGGATAGCATTATTATAGTACTATTGAAAAGTATATTGTAGTTTCTGAGAATTTATTAGAAATTTAAACATTCTTAATGCCCATCTCACTAAATATTTGTCCTAGGAATGAAGTTGTTTTCACATAAGAAGCAGAGCATAGGAAGTGTGTGCTTAGGGTCTGATCAGAGGCTCACTAAAGACAACGGAAAGACGGCTGCTGACTTCAGTGGTTTTGGGATCAGCCTCTTATAGTCCAACCTTGTTAACTAAATTAAAATTCGATAAGCCTGGTGCTGAAATAGGCTCTGGGGAACTTTCGATCCATTCTCCTGCTCTCCCTCTCTCTCATTGCCCACTGGAGTGCTTCAGGTGGGACTGTCTCGAGGGTCCTCTAGGGAGCTGCCCACTGATCGCGAGCTGCACCCACAGCGTTGGCACTAAAGAGACAGCATCAGTGTGCTTGTCTTGCAAACAAACTGCAATAGGGCAAAGTTTGGGGCAGGGTTTTGGGGGGCCCGCCCTTTGCTAAACACCCTGGAATCCCCGTGCAGCATTTTGGAAAGCGAGGTTAAAGCAGATGATGAGCAAGAGGAGTCTGACAGAGTGTGTGTGTGTTTCTAACGGGCTGGCATCGCTGGCTTGGCGGAGAGCTACGCAACGCCAAGTCTAGCAAGCAGCTAGAGTGGAGGAGGCGGCGGCAGGGGCTGTGCACAAGGCTGCTCAGCACGGGCAATTATTGCTCCAGCTGTTTGGACAAAGAAACAAAACCCTAAGGGAGGAAAGGATTTGGCAGCCTAGGAACGGCGACTGCGTTGCCTGCCCGGAGCCGGGCTCGTGCGGACTGAGCTGGCGGGCTCGGAGTGACAGTGGGATTCCCGCCCCCTCCCTCCCGCGGGAGGCTGGCGCTGGGCAGAGGCGTCAGGCACCTGCCCGGGGGCGGGCTTGGCTCGAAGGCTGCGGCCCCAGCGCCACTGGCGGGGAACCCTCGGATCCGCTTCTCAGCCGGGCTCCCCGCTCCGGCGGCCAGGGGCTGCTCCCGGGAGGGGACCCGCCTCCCCCTGCACGTGCCCGGACGGAGCTGGCGCTGCTGCCCGGGTCTAGCCGCCGCCTGCTCCCCCAGTGCACGAGCCTGTGCTCGGGCGGAGCCGCCTGCCAGGAGCAGCCCATGGGCACGGGCTTGTGCCCGGGCCGTGTTGCTGCAGCTGCCCGGCGCTAGCCCATGGGCCGAGCCGCTGCCCGGAACTAACCAGCCTCCTGCGCTGCCCATGTGCTCCAGCCTGCGCCCGGGCGCCGCCGCCGCTGCTGGCTGGGACTAGCCGCCTCCTCCCCCGGTGGATGCCGCCGGGGAGCGGGCGGAGCGCGCAGCCGGGGAGGGGGGCTGCCGCGGCCGCCGGAGCCGGAGTGCCTGGCAGTGCCCTCTGCGCTCATCAGCATGCTTTACTTCCAGATGGTGATCATGGCAGGGACCGTGATGCTGGCTTATTACTTCGAGTACACGGACACCTTCACGGTCAACGTGCAGGGCTTCTTCTGCTACGAGGGCTCCTACCGCAAGCCCTACCCGGGTCCGGAGGACAGCAGCGCCGTGCCCCCGGCGCTCCTCTACGCGCTGGCCGCAGGGGTCCCGGTGCTGGTGGTAAGCAAGAGCCGCTTCTCCCCTCCCTCCCCTTCTCCAGTCAGGCGGCGCTCCGGCCCCGGGCTGCGCTGCCCATCCAGCGCCCGCGAGTGAATGAACTTGTTGGCAAGGCATCCCCGAGCCCAGGGACCCAGCCGCGAGGCAGCTGCGGGCTTTGGTGCAGGGCGAGGGCTTTGCTGAGGATCAGAATAACGGGGTATTTCCTTGGTTAGTATGGATCTGCAGCCACCATTTGCCGTGGCTGGGAGCAGGAAAGAGCCGATTTCTTGGGGAGGGGGTGCGGGGGTCTTTCCCTTTCAGTCCCTTCTAGGAAGGAGCCTGCTGCTTTCCCAGATACCAATGTGTTTGGGCTGCAAGTTACCCCAGCAATGGCAATGGAAATCAGGGGCAACAAAGCCCCCCAAACGCCTCCCCCAAACGCCCGGGGCCATTTCCTAATGTCTGCAGGGGAGTCCTCCGAAGTTCATTTTTATCATGGATGTCTTAACCTGCCCCTTTCCGTTTGAAACCACAAATCGATTCCTTAAAAAAAAAAAAGTGTATGGGCTTATCTATTTTTTCCAAAGCATGTGGGTTAGTCACCGATCAGCGAGCTATATTCCCAGAGCCTATACAGCTAATGTCCACAAGCCAATATTTCAGTTACTAGTCATTAAAAGCTATATTTCTGTGCATTTATTTTCTGAAAGTAAGTTGATATACAAACTGGACTAGACAATGCTCCCTTTAGTGCACTGAGTAGGTGGAAAATAAACCTGTGCACTTGTTACTTTGGTGTGGGCTTCTATAAATAAGGTTTATGTAAGATTAATTTCAGTGGTTTTCTTCCTTTAGAAACATGGAAATGGAAACATAAAAACATCTGCCTTTAAATTGATGAATGTACAAGTTGTAATGTCAGATGACAGGGACATTGGCATCATTTAATAATCCCTGATCATATTGTGGAGGAAAGAGTCAGAGGATCAGCCAGGGGAGTATTTAACCATTTGGAACGGTGGGGCACACTAAAGACCAGAAGGAGCTTGACAGACAAGAAAAAGAGCTCTGGAGATTGAAATTATTTATTTTACAAATGTATTCCCCTTCAGCAAGTTATCTTTAAAACACATTTGAGAATAAATTGCTTTCTCAGCAAGCAGGTTCTGTCAGTAATCTCTAAAATCTAATTTCATCATGCCACTGTATTACCATGATGTTTCTGATTGTGTCAGATCCTCCAATACAAAATCTTAGGGCCAAATTCTGCCTTCATATTGAAGTCATTGGGGTTGGATGGGTGTAATTATGATGGATTTGGTCCTTGTTTTCTAGGGATTGAAATTGCACCCTGTGGTAACATGTGTTGTGTAGGTTTTTAGTCCAGGATTCATTTTGATTTTAACAAGTGTTACTAAAACAACCAATTCTGTCATTTTTTAAGTTGTAGGAAAAATGTTTAGTACATCTGGACTATTCTTTTGCTGTTTTCAATACCCAAATGTCTGTTTTGTTGTGTTTTGTTTTAAACTCTAACTTTTGCAGCAGTTTGATGGCTCCCGGGGTTGTAGTAGGATTTACTATAGCCCAAGATGGTAGTTACCAAAAATTATTAATGTCTAACAGCCATTTGGTGTTCTAGGTAAAATAAATTGGTGGTTTCCATCCATTTTCTAATAGTTATATTTCTACATCACAAAAAAACACCATCTCAATTGGTATCAGTTGGCACCCTTGTCAATGACAGCCTCAGCACAATAAGATGCTGATTGAATTGGTAGTGTTGTGGAGGTTAAACACAGATAAATTGAGTTTACCCACTTCTCGTTTGGGGATTATGGAGTTTAATGTAGGTTAGTTTACCCATTTCTTTGTTTACCACTACACCACTGCTCTCTCCCTCTAGCAGAGGCCCCTCTAGAAAAGTGTTTGAGATACATTGGCAGGTCAGACATGGAAGCTTGCAGTGCAGTTGCCTATGCTGTACCTCTTCCTTGGATGAACAGAAGACTTCAGCCTTTGGGGATGTCAAGCTGGCATCTGTAACAAACACTAAATGAAATTAATAAAGAAAAAATATTGGGCAGGCCACGGGCTAAATTCTACTATGATTCACCCTGGGTAATCCTGTTGAACTTGGATTTTCATGGGATGTATTTTAGTGCACACGTCCAGCCCCATCATGCATATTATGGATGAGGCTCTTTTATTTTACTTTGTTGATTTGGCTTGTTTCTTTTCTGTGGAAGAAGTAAAGCTGTTTGTTCTTTCCAAATCCAAAACTATTTATAAGCTGTTGACCAGAGTCAACCATGGTGGAACTCCACTGATTGAGTTTTCCTAGGGATGAATTTGGGTCTTTGCTACTGTACTAAGCTCTCCTTTCTGCCTCTGTAGTTCTTCCACATACTGGTGTGCAAGAGAACTAGTCTGTCTTTAAAAATGAAATGCAGGGAAGATCTAAAAAACATGTCACATGGCTAAATCTCTGCATGCATAGCTGAAAATGTAGGATGAACAGGAAGATATATTTCCACAAATAAAGATATTAACCTTTTAAAAATGATATGGAAAAACTGTTTAATAAATATTATCATGTTTTGAAGCGTGTAGGAAAAAAATAATCCCCTACCTGAAAAGTTATAAACGGGAAACAAAATCCAAACGATACTCCTATTCATGCTAAACACTGGAGCTAGCTGGAAACTTTTGACAAAAACAATATTTTGATGAAAATGGGGAGGGGGGGATCACAAATTCTTGCAGTGTTTTCTCTCCCATTTTCCAAACAGCTCTGAAAAGCACATTTTTTCATCCTTAAATTCACATTATTTCTACTTAAGCTGATCAAGAAAAATGGCTTGGACTGAATGGGAGGACATCAAGAAAAGCTCTCTGACCCACTTTGGTACCAGATGAGCTGGAGAACACTGTGGGAAGCCAACAGAGGGAAGCTTAAGATATTTCTGGGGAGAAGATTGTTCTTTCTTTTTATGGGAGAACATTTCTGACGGAAATGGGAGAAGTGCACTTTAAGGAGTGTTGGGGAGGAACCACTGTGACTCAGATTTGGTGGGCAGGACAGCTGCTTTTTTGAGGGAGGGGCCTTAGGCCATAATGTTTTACGCTGGTGGAGCTTCTCTTAATAGGCGTGAGTGAAGGCCTCTGTGTATCAAACTTGGGGGCAACTGTGCTAAGTGGGGGAATGAGCGGGCTTCCCAGTGACTTTTCTCTTCCCTAATTCCTGCAGACTCTGCATAAGTGGGAAGAGCCAGTTCATGGAGGAGCATGTAACGTGTATGTTTGTTTTGAATTGGATGCAACACAAACTATCATAGTATATACTGTGATTTACATAATATTTTAATATTATACAGAACATGTTGCTGCTAATGAGAAGTTCCACGAAAGACCTATTCAATTCAATAATAAGCAATTCATCATCCATGCTTATACACATCCAGTGACTAGAAAGCCCTATGTAGAGGGAGGGGCTGCAGCTGCTATTGCTTCCCATTGAATGGAGCAGCAGCTGTGGAAGGCCTGGGGTAAAGTCTAACAGCTGCTTGCAGGTTAGGGAAAATTCCATTGCCAACAAGAGTCCTATATTATAACTGTTTTATGTGGTCTTCTTGCCGGGAGATATGAATTTCATCTTATCAGAACATACTATAAGAAAGCAAAATGTGTGAGGTATCATATTGAGATCAGGCTCCATGCTATTCAATGTAGATTGCAATATTATTTGTAAACGTTTCCCACTTTTAGTTATCCCTTTAGATATAAAATCATGACCTATACAAGAAGACCTAGCTGCAAACGGGCATACTGTTTGCACTGGGAGATATTAAGGCATATCTTTTTAGAACACACTAAGAATACAGTGCAGTGCAAAATGTGGAAGAGGTTGAAATTATGAGATCTCAGTAGAAGAATTTAAATGGCTCCGGTGATGTGATGTCAAGATCAATGGATCTGAAGATCCAATAGATTGTCAGTAGAATCCATAGGCTTGGCTTTTCCTTCTGACCTTTAATGTGAGTTGTGGATGAAGTAGCAGCTGTAGCTGAGACTCTCCTTATTTTTGCTGGTTGAAGAAAAAAATGTCCAGAATGACACTTGTATCCTGAGAAATTATTAAAACCTTCTTTGTAACTTGAAGTCAAATGTAAAGGTGAAAAGAAATATGGTCTTGATTGATTCTATTTAAAAATATGAAAAAAGAAGCATAGAGATGATAAGTTTTGTGTTCAGTGCTATTTAAACCTTTTCCCAAAGTGCCAGATTTTGCTCAGCAGGCTGGTTGCTTTTTTAGACTTGTTATGACAGATGTAGTTTGAGAAATATACGTCAGTCTAATCCTTTAGCTTCCAGTGGAAATGATTTGTAGAATTCTCAGCTAGTTGCTCATGTGTTTTCAAAAGCTACAAAATGATCTGTTCTGCTCCATTTCTTTCTGGTAGACCTTAGTAGTATTTTGCAAAGGTCAAAATGATTAACTGAACAAAAGAATGATTTTAGTGGATACACATATTAGTGCATATGATTTATCTTGACATCATTATTTAAGCAAATAATCAGTGTTAAACAATGGATGATAGGAACTATAATGTATACTGACTGCTTTATATACACTAGGAGGAGATGACACATTTTCATTAATACATTGTGTAAACACTAAGAGTTACCTCATGCTAATTTTGTTTGTTTTTATATTCAAGTAATAAGCAGATGATTACAGTACTTATTCATAAAACATTCACAGTTCTGTTTGTTTAGGCAGATTCCTAGCATATTCATATTTTCCCTGTAAATCAATTAGTTAGTAATTTGTATTTTAGCATAATCCTCTTAATATCATTGAAAAAATGAGTTTAATTTAGAGACAATGTATTGTTTTTTTCAGTAGCCTGCATGAACATTTTCACTGGTGTAACCTAAAGAAGTAACTAATGTCAAAGTCAGATACTGTTTGGGCTAACCTAGATGCAGAAACTCCCTTCTCACTGCACTTTTGGAGC